CAGGGCTGGCTGGAGGAAGATGGGGGTAGGGGAGGCCTTCCCCCCTGCACAGCGCTGGGGCTGATGTCTGGGCTGTTCTTTCCTCCATGGCAGCGCCCCGAGGGAAGCGCAGCTGGAAGCCCTTCCACGCCATCCTGAAGGGGATGATTCTCTACCTGCAGAAGGTAGGCAGCAGCAGGGCTGCCTGCATCCATGCCAGGGAGAGGGATCGTCCCCAACCCCGCGGGAGGGTCACAGCAGTCCCAACAGCAGTGAGAGAGGGGCTCCAGTACACGGTATTGCAAAGCCTTGCCTAAGTGGACTCAGCACCATGCCTGCTTGAGCCATTGCTTGGGGACCTGGTGGCATCCCTGTTCCCAGGGTGCTCAGGTTCAGCCTGGGCAGCAAAAGCGGCTGCTGATGGAGGGCCCTGCATGCAGGCACCTGGCTGGGGAGAGAGGAGGCACTGGAGTCTTTGCCCTGGGCGGGAGGTTGGGCTGCGCATCCTGCTTTCTGCAGGCACACAGGCTGCCCAGCTGCGGGGCAGTGGGGAACAGCCACCCTGCTGTCGCCAAGCCCATGCAACCGGGTTGTGCAGCCTCTCCCCAGGGATGCAGCATGAGCTGGAGGCAGGGCCTGCAGCAGCCTGGCGGAGGGTGATCTCCAAGCCACACTGTGGCCTTGTAGAGCTGATTCATGGTGGGGCACATCCCTAAGCTGGCTCTGAAACACCCCGTGATTCACAGGAGGAATATAAGCCAGGGAAGGCACTGGCGGAAGAGGAGCTGAAGAACGCTATTAGCATCCACCATTCGCTTGCCACACGGGCATCTGACTACAGCAAGCGACCCAACGTCTTCTACCTCAGGACAGCTGACTGGAGGATCTTCCTCTTCCAAGCGCAGTGAGTCCCCCAGGATGGCTGGCGGGGCCCCACTGGGGCACAGGGACTTGTCTGGCTGGGGCGGAGGGTGGGATGGGGCTTAGGGCCACATTGCTCTCTCCTGTCCTGGTCCTTTCTGGAAGGAAAGGGACCCAGTGTCAGTGCTGTGCTTTGCCCAGGTTCTCCTCTTCCCACCCTGATGGGCTCACGATGACCCGAGTTGCTGGGGGCAAAGCCCCAGGTGCTGTGGCTGGTCCCAGATCTTGTCTGCCGGGCAGGTCCCTCTTCCTGTGACACAGCTAGTGCCACTTCGAGCCCATCTGTGGTTTGGCCTTTCTCCTCAGGAACCCTGAACAGATGCACTCGTGGATCACACGCATCAATGTGGTGGCAGCCATGTTCTCCGCACCCCCCTTCCCCGCAGCCATCGGCTCCCAGAAGAAGTTCAGCCGCCCGCTGCTGCCCAGCTCTTGCACTCGGCTGTCCCAGGTGAGCTGTGTGGTATGGGGGCAGCCAGGAGCATGGGACAGACTCCCTGGGTCTGCTGGTGGGACCGTCCCCTGCAGAGGTTCCTATGTGGTGCCACGTGCCCAGCTGCCTCCCAGCAGGGTGCAGGGCTGAGGGAGTCTGGCCAGGGAGACAGGGAGCAAGGGCATGCCAAGGCTGGGGGAGGACAGTGAGGTCTTGTTCCTGGTGGTGGAGATGGGAGACAGGCGACGGAGTCAGACTGTGGATGAGAACATAGTTCCACACCACGGCTTGGACAGTCCTACCAGGGACCTTGAAAGGCAACCGGATGAGGGGATTAGATGGCACTTGTGTGTGCCAGGGCAGTTATTCATAGAGCAGAAAGGATTATAAAAAACCCTACCAGCCTAGTTTTAGAGGGGATTAAATTCTTCTGCTTTAAGACCGCAGCCAACCCCACATGAGGGGGGAGCAGATTGCCCCCAAGGGCCTGTGCTTTTGCCTGCCATGTTCAAAACAAAACAAAACAACAAATAAACCCATGTGCCTAAGGTGAGATCCTGGCTGGGCCAGGTCACATTGCTGGAGGGCAGAGCAGAGGGCAGAGCCACTGCCACTGACACAGTGCCACCCTTCCCCAGGAGGAGCAAGTGAAGAGCCATGAGACCAAGTTTAAGACGATGTCAGCAGAGCTGCTGGAGCATCGCTCCTCCCTACCTGAGAAGAAGGTGAAGGGCAAAGAATACGAGGAGCTGAAGCAGAAGGAAGAGTACCTGGAATTTGAGGTGAGCTCCTCTGCCCCCATTGCCTCTGCCCCTGCCTGCTTGGTCATCCTAAGTGATGGGAGCCCCCTGTCCCCGTGAGCTGAATTGCACTGTGCCACTGCCATGGTCCAGGACCACAGGCATCCTCCCTGCCCTAGAATGCTGGCTGGGATGGAGGGACCACAAGCATGCCCCACATCCCGGGATGCTGGCTGAGGGGCAGTGTGCAGCTCGCTGACCCCTCTCTCTTGCACTATGCCCCCCAGAAATCCCGCTACGGCACCTACGCCATGCTGCTGCGGGCCAAGCTGAAGGCTGGCTCTGAGGACCTGGCAGTGTTCGAGTCCACCCTCTTTGATGCAGCAGGCGGGGAGGACGATGGCCTTAAAAAAGCCCATTCCAGCCCCTCGCTCAACACGGAGCCCTCTGGCATGGCCACCAAGGTGAAGCGCAATGTCTCGGAGCGCGCCAGTCGCCAGGCCCCTGGCCACCCCCAGAAGCCGTAAGTGAGGGGCATCAGCCACCCACGCTGCAGCTCCATTCCTGTCTCCCCGGTTCTGGGGTGGAGGCCACGTGCCCGACGAGACCCTGCATGAGTCTGTCCATCTGCGGCACAAGCTGAGGAGGCGACAGCCCTTCCCCGGCTGCCAGCACCAGCCATGCAGAGCCGTGGCCCCTCCGCCAGAGATGGTGGCAGAGCAGGACGGTCCCCAGTCTTTGCCCGCAGGAGCTGCCTGTGCCATTGGCCCCAGCAGACTTGTTTTTGCCCCTCCTTCTCCTGCACTTGGCTGCAAGACCCAGTCCCCCTGTGCCACAGGGGGGAACAACTGAAACCCACCCACTGGGCTCAATTCTTCAGTGGTTTAAAAAAAAAAAAAAAAGAAAAAAAGACAAAACCACAGCAAAACAAAGCCAGCAGCCACTTCTCTGGCTCCCTTGTGCCATGGGGGATAGACAGGAGAGGGCCAGCCGTGGGGCTGTCCCCTCTCCTGGGGCTAGGGGCCAGGGGAGCTGGGCTGATGGCACCTGGCCCCCCTCCCTGCCACCACAGCCACCTCCGCACCCTCCCTGCTTTCTTACAACTTTTGAACTTTTTCTTTTTTGTGATACAATTTTGCACTTTTTAGTACCAGATTGAGCTGACCACCAGGGAGGGGTTTTTTGGGACTACTTTTGATGCTTTTTGGGAACTGTAAAAAAAAACCAACACAAACAAAACCAGAAACCCAGCCATGTCCTGTAGGCACTGCATTCTGAGGGGAGGAGGTTTTCACATGGACTCAAGGGGAGACCCAGTTCCCCCCTACAGCAAGCTGAGCATGGGCTCCTGTGTGTGCTGTTGCCTGCTCCCCAGCCCTGCTCCAGCACCAGCAACCCTGCAGAGAGACACAGCCCCGTGGCTGCAGGCACCAAGGAGGCAGCCTTGGGATGGCAGCATCCATCGCTGTACTTGTGGTGGCATGGGGCGGGGGGGCTGATGCACTGGTGCTTCATGAACCCTCCAGCAGCCTGGACCTGCCCAGTTTGCACTGCCTGGGTGTGAGCATCATACCTGGGCCATGTTGGGCAGCAGCGTATAAGTAGTCCCAGGGGGGAGGTGAACCCTGAAGCCTGGGCTGACCTGTGGCTCCCCACTGCCCTATGGGGCTGGCACAAGCCAGAGCCAGCATTCCTTCCCCTGCCGCTTCCTGAGTGCATGGCCAGGGCCTCAGAGCCTGCCAGCAGAGCTTGGTCCGCAGCGTGGTGAGGTCCTCATCCCGCAGCAGTGGTGGTACAGCCCCTTCCTCGGCCATGGGGTCCCTCCTTGCCAAGGTGATGGGCAGGCTGGGGCAGACCCCACCACCCCAGGGTGGGCTGAAGGATGCTCATCTGGAGCGAGGTGCCAGTGGTGGAGCGTGGATGCAGAAGCGTCCAGGGAGGGGTCCAGGGACAGCAGAAGGGCTGTGGGTGGGGGGCTGGCACACACACTGTTCTCAGCTGCCTGGGACCTGGCTGGTTTCAGCACTGACTTTGCGAATGTGTCAAACTTTTTATTATGCTCTTTTGAGTCTATTGCAAAAAAAAGAAGAAAAAAAAAAATCCACCCCTGCCCCAGGTGGCTCGGGGAGGAGAAAAACCTTTGTACAGCTTCTTCTCTCGGTTACTGAAGTAAAATTTGCTCTTCACTTCTTGTATGCACTGTGGTTTCTCCCCACGGCTGTGGACAGCCCTGGCATGGAGGGATGCCAAGGAGCAGTTGGCAGCTGCTTCCTTGCTGCTGGACTCCCAGTCCCAGGCAGGGCTTAGGGCTCAGGGCTGGGGCTGGAGAGAGGGAGGGCAAAGGAGAATGGAAACATGTCCCTTTATTTGGAAGAGGGACCATTAAATAAGAGCAGAGAGGGGCAGGAGCTGGCTGTGTCCTGTCCCCCAGAGTCCAGGCAGCCGGACCCCAAGTCTGGAAGGCACTTGTGAGCAGGGCATGGTCAGAGGCGATGCAGCGCCCACCGGCGGGTGCAGGGCTGCTGGCCCCTCAGTGAACCTGTGGTTGCTGGCTGTGGGGCAGCTCACCCCCCGGCCCTGGCTTCAGGGCCAGCGTGGGCACCTGCTCCTCCTCCACCGACTCGCTGCCATAGGCACTGTCTTCCTTCAGCTCTGCAAAGCAAGCCCCAGCTGCTGTCAGCAATGGAGTGTCAGGGGGGCAGCAAGGACACAACCCCCCCCCAGCCCCTCACTCCCCGTACCTGTGCTTTGCAGCTTCTCCAGCACCTCAGTTTTGTGGAGCATCCTCACGGCCTTGCGGAGCCCCATGGAGTCCAGTGCCTCCAGCAGCCCCCCGAGGCTGCCCCCTGCCAGCTGCGGAGCGGTGGCCAGACAGACAGGGAGGGCAGGGGGCACCCTGCCTGGGCACTGACCTCGTAACTGCGCAGGAGGCTGGCGCTGGGTGAAGGGGTGTCCTTGTAGGTCTCCACCAGGCTGCAGAGCCCCAGCCGCTTGGCCAGCTCAATCCAGTCTGCCCCGC